GCGGTGCCAAAGCCACGGTCAACTACATAACAAAAAGTGTGGCAACTGTCATTGGCACTTGTCAGGTATCCAACTCTCAGGATATAAAAATAAATTGGCATTCTGACTTCAAGCTTACTATTAATGGAAACGACTGCCCTATCACTCCGCAAGCGTCTCAGAGCCCGTTAACTAGTGGGTATTTCAGCGTCATATCCAGCGGTTCCGGATTTGTTATCACATCGTTTGATGTCTATAATGACGTTGCAGACTTGACTGCGGACCCGGCTGCTATAGGCTTGCGATCTGCTCGCGCCAAGGAACAGATGATTAACGACATCCCCGCAGACGACGGTACGGAAAAACCCGCTCCAGATTCCCCAGCTTCAGGCTCAAGGTTATCGGACGAATTTTTGCAAAAGCACGACGAAATCAACAGCTTTATTCTGGAAGTATCAAGAACTATACAAGGATTGCATTTAGATATCCAAAAGATCAACACCAGACTTGATGCTATATCCGAGGATATCAAAACTAAAAACGCGGCTATTGAAAAAGCAATTTCAGAGTTACCGCATTCGGATCAGATTGATCCATCACTGGCACAGATTATTCGCATTTTGTTGTCACTCGAAGAACGTGTACATAGTACTGCAAACAAAGGCGAAGCCGCTACGTCATCTTTCAACTCAAAAATAGAATCTGATATTCGAGACCTGCATTCAAAGATTGCCAACTTTGATAAGGACTTTATTAAAAATATTAACAACCTGCTGAACTCTAGCTCTGAGACCATGACACGCTCGATTCGAATCTGGTTGATTTTCTTATTCCTGGGCGGGCTTATAGTTGCTTTGGGGTTCTACTTCTTTCACGAACGCCAGAAAAGCCGACATGCTAAATTACTATAAGCACGCATATGTGCCAGAATTGAATTTTCTATTGAACTCTTATTTTTTTATTATAGACCCCTTTGATGCCATCGTATTTCAGTCCCTGGCCGTTATATTATCACCGTATTCAATACTGTCCCTCAAACCTTAAATTTTATTTCACGTTTTCCCATTCGTCAACACGTATACTTACATAGCAACTGAAAATAAACAAACCTGCCCTATAGTTTGACATTAATTACTCACCTCATCTAGTTTAATCCCTTTCCGTTTCTTTTCAACAACCTACGCTTTCTCGTACAGTCGCAAAACACTATCAGACGACACATATAAATTGCCCTACAGGACTGTGAAAGCATTTCGATTCCATATATTCCTTAATTCCCTATTCTCCGCGGTTATTTCACTCCGCAGCATCACAACCAGCCCTTCAATACTATGAAGAACATAATACCATTAATCGCTGTTTCAGCAGCAATATCCATAGATCGCGTCACAACAATATCTCCAGATATTTCTAAGACAGGACAACTGTCAATATTTGGCGATTTTCTCGGGTTTTCACCTTTCACATATCTCCAACAATCATCACAACCTTCGGGCGCTCAGATATTCCAATCGGATGGTACCTCAATACCGCTATTTTCAAATCATTCTGAATTGGATGTGAATGGATTGATTTACTCCTCTTGCCTGCACGATAATGTCTCATATGTCGGTGGAGATTTTCAGTCTCCATACCCGTATATATTTGCGATCAATCTTACAGATGGCTCAACTTTTCCCCTCAGTCAAATAGAAGGCCCAGTATATTCGCTCTTGTGTACTTCAGATAGTTTATATGCAGGTGGTAATTTTGACTTTAACCAAACACATGGTGCTGCTGTTTATGACTTTAGCTCGTTAATGTGGTCTTCTTTACCTTTCGGTGGCTTCTCAGCAGGCTCTGAAGTCAACGCTTTAGCTCAACGCCAGAATGGAAATATCATCTTCGGGGGAAATTTTACATCACTAGGTAATCAGTACTACCTTGGAAACACCTCTGAGTCTATGGACAACTATTCTACCACGCAGTACATTGCGCTAGCATCTGGTAATGCTTCTGCTAGTGGGCCATCTTCTTCTGATCCTTTTGATCCCTCTGCTCCGTTATGTGGGCTCTTCGAATCAGCAGAGGCATCCACATGGAGATTGGCAGATAACTCTTTAGGATCATGGCAGATATATTTACCCCGAACTATCAATCCATACAAAGTCCAGTTACGAAATACGCCAGCTCCCAATAGTGGAACATCACAATTCAGATTCGTGAGCTTCCCCACAGGCGGCATAATGAATCTCTCTTATGTTGACACAGATGGCATAGTGTCTTATTGTGATGCTTTCTGCGCTCTTCAACCCGGTGCAGATCAGTTTCAAGAGTTCTCTTTTGTTAATATCATTGGAATGACAGGGTTCAAAATAGAAATCTTGGGGATGTATGGTGATTATGCAGGCCTTTCAGGAATTGCTTTAGTTGACAACTATACCGCAGTCTACGCGATTAACAGCTATAATTCAATCAATCCTTGCGACGGAGAAGGTGGACTGGGCGTCTCAAAATCATCAACTACTGGATCTGGTTGGTCTATAGCTGAGGACCTCGGGTATCTCACCAACACCATCAATTCAGCTCCTTTATCTGACTATTCTGTCACCTTCTATCCGAATATTTCCGTCCCCGGGAACTACTCGGTATACTTACACACGCCAGGTTGCATTGGTGATAATACTTGTTCTTCACGGGGAGTCGTTGACGTCTTTATCAATGCATCACAGGACGTTACTCAATCTCATAGCATTTATCAAACTAACAACTATGAAAAGTATGATACCGTTTATAACGGATTCATTGATTCGAGCAGCAACTTCTCTCCATCTATTCGCCTAACTCCTAGAGAGAATTCTGCCCTTCCCTTCACTTTCGTTGCAGACAAAATCACTGTTATTCTTGAGAGTGCCATCTTCAACACCTCAGAAAAGCTCGAGGTGAATGCGGTTTTGGAATACGATCCCAGCAACTTCACATCAGTTAACTCTACTCCTATAGGAATTGGAAATGATACGTTAACTTCTATTGGTGACGTATTAGGCAGCGAGGCTGAAGTTCAAGCGATCGAAACATTATCGGACGGTTCAGTTCTTGTTGGAGGCAAGTTTGACAATTGTGACATCAGTCAAGTACTAATTAGCATTGCTAAGGATAATAGCGTATCAGCTTTTGGCTCTAATAATTGGGAGGGCTCTATATATTCTTTATATAACAGCCAATCGGGACAACTTTTCATTGGAGGAGATATGATTATTAATCAAAAGCCTGCATTTTTCACCTCTTTGAATATCTCGAACAACGCGTTGATCGAAACTAGCACACCAAACGGCCCTGTTATTCTAATATCTCAATTCTCACTAAAAAATTATACTGGAGAAAGCCACTCAGTGATACTTGTTGCCGGAGATTTCGATGAACTCTTGGATTCTAATAGTTCAATTAACTACTCCGTGCCTGGAAGTGGTCTATACTTTGAATCAAGTGATAATTGGTACCAAGAGATTGCCGGCAACTCGTTTCCATTACTACTTGGCGACATTCAGAATGCTCTGACTGTGAACGAAGAATCTGAACAATACGTGTTACTAGGTTCTGGTATATCATCTGAATCTTTCAAGTCAATAAGCTTGGCATTAACTGATGGCAATTCTGTTTTTGAACCTAACAAGCTGATCACATTTGCATCAGAAGAATCGGCTGTGCGAACAGTTCTGTATCCGGATACCGGAAATGATAGTTTTGTCATCGTTGGAGGAAACTTCAGGATGAACAGTTCAAAAACCAGTCAGTTTGAGAATATTATGCTGATAATAGATGACTCTGTGATTGGAATTAGCGACGGTATGGATTCTGCAAGCACGGTACTTGCGCTGGCTGCATACAATGACACGTTGTTCGCTGGGGGTCGTATCACCGGCAGCTCGAATTCTAATGAACTTGGAAATTTCGTATCTCTTGACCTCGCTACTGGAGAATACACACAATATCAACCGGCCCCTCTTACTTGTTCATCTCAGGTTTGCCAAGTCAACGACATAGTCGTATACTCCGAACGATCTCTTTTGTTTGTCGCTGGTTCATTTGAGAAAGCAGGTCAATTGAGTTGTAGCGGAATTTGCTCTTATGAGACAGGACCGCAGCGTTGGCAAGGCGTTGCAGGTGGAGTTGAGGGTAACGTAACCTCTCTTCTTCTGAATGGTGAACGTCTGTACTTCAGTGGGGAGTTTCAGTTGGATGGCAAAACAGGATATTTGGCTTATTATGATCTGAGGAACAATTCGATTCAAAGCTTCGATGAAAGTGAACTGACTTATGGTTTACCCGGAAAAGTGAATGGCTTTTTGTCACCATCTGGTGATATTGAATCATCCGTTATTGTATGGGGACAAGAGTCTAGAGATAACAATAAGTTTTTTATATCTGTCTGGAACAATAATCAATGGGGTTCCATCGATGGTTTGGCAGAAGATTCACAAATTTTTGAGGTGTTATTACTGCCGGTTTCTGAGTCGGTCAGTTCCGCAGCCTATTTAGCAAGCGATGAGGTTCTATTGGCGGTTGGAAATATTATAATTTCAGAATCAGATGACGAAGAAGTGTCAGCGGCGTATTTTGATGGAGATTCATGGCAGCCCTTTATTTTCACGTCAAAAAAGAACTCAGAGGGAGAAGCAGAACCGGGTATCATATATGGTATTTCCTCTGAGTTCACTGAAGCTCTCAGAACTGTCACCGAGAGCTACATGGATCGAGGTTACGTCGTCCTTGTATCTATGGCATCCTCTATTGGTATTATGTTTGTGATTATTGCGGGATATGCAGTATTCAGCTCCTTGCGGGACAGATCCGGGTACGAGATTGCTCCGCAAAAAGAATCATAACTAACTCTTTGTATAATATTATAACATTTATGGTGAAATGATGGATCTGAGAATAAATGTAGATAAAATTTAGACAAATAAATGGCTAGAGGTATTATATATTTGAAGATTTTAAACAATAACAAGATTGTAATGAAAATAAAAAAAAAAGGAAAATCTCCAGGGGGCGATTCGAACGCCCGATCTCAAGGTGATTGTACCATTACAGCCTCGCGCCTTAGCCAACTTGGCCACCTGGAGTTGTGATGTAAACCTTTCCTAGCAACTACTACACTAGATGCCACAATGGAACCACTTAAATTAAATTAAGAAATTCACTGTATGTCACGCTAAGCAATAATACTATCGAATGAATGAGAGTATATTAATCTTCAGAAGGAGATCTTTTACGTTTTTTTGTTGGTTTCTTCGCAGTAGCAGCCTTTTTATCCGTTTTAGCCTGATTTTCTTTTCTCATTTTGTCACCTTGAACCCATAATGACTGCTTGAGATCTATATATTCTTTAGATGAGATATCCATTGAAGTTAATGATTTCAACATTTCTATCTCCCGGATCCAATCATCCATTTCTTTATCATTGTCGCAAGGTGTTTCAAGAATAAGTGGTATAGAATGAAACCTCGGAGAATTCATAATGTAGTGAAAACAATCAAGGCCAATGAACCCTTTGCCTATATTCTCATGGCGGTCTTTGCGAGAATCAAGAGGGAACATAGAATCATTAAGATGAATACCTGCAAGGTATTCCTTTCCGATAGTAGTATCAAATGCTTGCCAAAATTTATCTTGCTCTTCAATGGAGGATAGGTCGAATCCACCAGCGAAGGCATGACATGTATCAATACATACACCTACTCTCGATTTGTCCTCGACGAGACTAATGATATCGCGTAGCTCTTCAAGCGTGCGGCCTATAGTAGAGCCTTGCCCGGCCATATTTTCAAGCACGACTTTTACGTTGGATGTCTCTTTGTGTGCCTTGTTTATACATTTAGCTATTCTAGCGATAGCTTCGTCGAGAGGTTCGCCCATGTGAGCACCAGGGTGGAGGTTGTATAGATTGACCTCTAGTTCTTCACACCGTTTCAGATCATCAATCAGACAGTCACATGACTGGTCTCGCTTTGCTTTATCCGGGTTAGCAAGATTTATGAGGTATGATCCGTGTGGCAGAATGCAGCTGCCGGGGAACGCCTTTTCACGCGATTCTCTGAACTTCTGAGCGACATCAGCGGTCATTGGAGCAGAAGTCCAACGGCGCTGATTTTTGACAAAAATAGCAAATGCAGTTCCGCCACTTTTCTGCGCGCGCGAAATCGTCTCTGTGAGGCCTCCTCCGACGTGAGCACCGACAAACCATTCTGCTTTTGCAGCGTGCGTGATCATTATGGTGAAACTTAAAAAAGCTAAAACTCACCGACCAGAGGGGTGGGGGAGGGCCATATGTACCTTTGGCACCACTCAGACAGCACAAAATGGATATCAACGATCTCCTTAAAGACCTTGATTCACGGGTCTTTGGGTCTGCAGACGACGATAAAGACAAAGAAGGTGATATACTTGCCTTACAGAAGGCCTGGGTTTCAGAACTGACGTGCCCCGAGATACTTCCCTATCAAGATGAGCTACTAGAGCAGCTACGAGATCGGCTGGATCTCCAAATAGAAGAAATAGAAAGACAAACTGCTGCTGAATCAGGAACTGTTACTAGCGATGTCAAGTTCTCTTTATTAGTTATTGAGTCAGAAGTAGAACGTGTAAGATTTCTTATTCGAAGTTATCTACGAACAAGAATAGCTAAACTGTCTAGAATGGATATGCACTATGCTCGGAACACCTACAACCTGTCTCAAGAGGAAATAAAATTTATCAGAAAAAGAGTCGAACTTCTGAGCCATTTGTATGACCGTCAGTTTAACATGAGGAGCTGGCCTGAAAATCTCAAGGGCTTAGAAGATGACACCGGCGGTCTTTCAATGGTGACTGTCCCCGACATGAACAGCCCTGTCATATTCAAAGTAGTGCGTCCAATTGAAGAAACTGTCCAATTGGGCGACGAGACTATTGAGCTAATGCAAGATAGTATTTACGCAATGCGATATTCAGCTGTTCAAAAATTCATAGCTAATGGTGCAGTCGTCATGTTATAGTGGACTTCTGCAGTTATGCAACCTCTACAATGATCTCTCCAAAAGGTATACTCTGCTCCACTCTCAGCTCTCCTCGGGTAGCTAAGACAAGCATTTGCAAGAATCTGTCACTTGCCTGTTTCTTAGACATACCAGACGTAAGATCTTCAAAGCTTTTAGGCCCTGCAGAGAGTTCCTTGAAAACCATATCATTCTCTTCTCCCTGCTGATAGTTCTCTATGGTCGGTTCCTCCATATCTGCTTGAAAATCATTTATAAACCCAACATCAGTCATATCAGCTTCACTCTCTTCTTGTAAAGCTTCTTCATGCGGAGTGTCTACCGGCATCTCTTGTTCATCATCCGGAAGTTGGAATGAGTACTCATCAACACCTTTTGGCGTACTCACACTAAACTCGGGAATGTTTTCATCATTGTGTGATAGACCATGCATTGACGCTTGATCGTTTGTTGAGCTTGAGATTAGTTTGAATTTAGCAGTACTGAAAGTTAGCTGCAGTGCTGGAGAAGTTAACTCGAAAACGCGCTTGTTGAACTTTCCTGCCATAGCACTCCGAGGTAGCCTGAAAATACCTGTATAGTACGCAAGCGCAGGGTTTTCAGGGAGTATTCGCACAAGTGACAATGCAGGCAAAGGCAATTTGTCGTGTCTATGACGAATTTTGGAAGGTGCAGCAGTTGTTGTTATATCGATGCAGGGCGGAATGAGTGTGTTTCTTGGTTTCTTGCGCGTACGCTTCTTTTTCGGGGTACTCTCTGCAGGTATGTTTGAAACAGATATTTCTTGTAACGGTTCTGGACTTAAATTAAGCACTGGCTCTTCTTGGTCCATAACAATGTCGTCATTCAGATAATCTAAGTCAAGTGGTGGTAAATCATCGTCGATGGAATAGGCAGGCGTGGGCGCGTCCCTTCCCTGTTCAATAGAGTCATCTCCTGCAGTTCCAGAAAAAGAGCCTCTATGCATATGTTCGTGCTCATCACCGCGCGCGATTTCGATAGAGCTAGCTACTGAGGCGGATCGTTTGCGGTGGATAGTGTCATCAGCGGAGAAGTCTGATAGTACGTCAAAGTAGCTGTCGTGGCCAATGGACTCATCTATTGACGAAATAGAACGAGCAGGTGACAGAGGAGGAATAGAATCTTCATTATCAGGAGGAGGATTAAAAAAGTCCATATAAGGTAGAGAAGGTGTTGGTACGATCAACTTAAGTCTGCGCTTTTGAGCTGCGGTATACTCTTGTTTACCTAGCTCGATGTTTTTCTTATTCAGGACTTCTGCATTTTCTTGCCTTTTAGCACAACGAAACTGCGCCATCATTTCCGAACACTCATCTAAAAGATATTTTGACTTCCTGTATTGAATGCGCGATACGCCTAGCAAAAGTTGTCCTGATGTTCTTACAGTGATATGAGTATTCTCAAGAATGACTCCGATGACTTCAACTAGATCGATATTGAGTATACTATGCTTGTTAAGCTTTCGAATCGATTGTGCCGCAATCCATGTTTTATTCAGCAGTCCTTGCGAGTCTCCGAAGTCTGCCATTCTTATTTGTTTTTGTCTTTTGATGGCTCTGAAGCTAAGTAAGCAATAACAAAGCACAAACTCTATATAGGTTTGGCGACGCGTTTTGTCTAAGACCCAGCGCGACACCACCGCGGCATGCAGCCGCAACATTTAGCCGACAACCTACACCACATATAAATGACACTATTAATCCATTAACTGCGTAGCATTAATCAAATATTTTATAGTGCATATTCTGCATATTCTGCATATTCTGCATCCTCATAGCATATCTACAGTTTTTTTGTAAAACAATGAGTTTGTTACTGTGCTGTAACTGCAGGACTTTGCGGTAACTTTAGTACCTAACATCGAACTACCTTCACCCCAGCTGTAACATCTACCGTCTTTCACCTCTACCAGCAATGAAAGTGCTAATCTTTGGCGGAGCTGGATTTTTGGGTAAACACCTCCAGAGGGAATTTACTAATAAAGGATGGACAGTTTCGATTGCTGACGTTACAAGTGGCGACGTAATTGTTGATCTTTTAGACGCTGAAAATGTAAAACAGGCGGTGCTGGACGTCAGTCCTGATGTAATTGTTCACTGCGCGAGTCCACCAGCCGAACATAAGAATGAGAAACTCTTCTATGCCGTCAATGTCGACGGAACTAAAAACGTAGCCGAGGCAGCTCGAGCGCCATCGGTCAAAGCTTTCGTTTACACTTCTTCTGCGAGCGTGGTATTTAATGGTGCTGATCTTATTAACGCTAATGAGGACTACCCCATTGCTAACCCTCCATTCGATTCGTATACCGATTCAAAGGCTAAAGGCGAAGCTGCTGCTCTAGCTGCTGATGAGTGGGTGCCTACTTGCGCTATACGTCCTGCAGGAATATTTGGCGAACATGACAGACAAGTGATCCCTGGTATGCTGCAGGTGATGGAAAGAGGCCAAACTCGTTTCCAAATTGGTTCAAATAACAATCTATTCGACTACACATACGCAGGAAATGTGGCATACGCGCATATACTTGCAGCTGAGGCTCTAATGGAACAAGAGCGCAGTAAGCTTGCTCGTGGACAAGCCTTTTTCATTACGAATATGTCTCCAATACCTTTTTTTGCTATGCCTCGTGCCATTTGGGCCCATTGTGGACATACACCAAGCAGCATAATCAAGATTCCTAAAGACCTTGGTATAATTATCGGCGGAATTAGTGAAATTGTTTCTTATTTCACAGGTCGCGAACCAGGTCTTAACCGTTTTCGCATCAAATTTTCATGTGCTGTAAGATATTATTCATGCGCCAAAGCACAGGCAATTCTTGGATACACTCCAAAATATACTCTCGAAGAAGGTATTAAACGAAGTTTAGCGTGGTTGGACGAAACGAAAAAGGAGAAATAAACTTAAGTTAAATGTTTGTGTTATTCTCTATATAACCTAGACTATAGCTGACCCATTGTTACTCTCATCCCTTGTTCGTGTAGATCTGACTGATAGAACTCGTCTAACTCCAGCATTATCCAAATCTGCCCTTCGCGATAAAAATTCCGCTAGTTCATAGGATTTAA